CTCAGGGGGGGTACTGTAGCATTACTCACCTTATCCAGGGTCCTCTCTTCGAGCCGCGCGCGGTCCTGCTGCTGCACGAGCCGCGCGCGGCTTATCCGACGGCCTCAACAGGAAGGCGGGCAGTGACCGCGAGAAGCGGTCACGTGTCCCGCCTGAATCTAAGAGCGCGCCGCGAGTCTCGGGCGCCCTCTTAAAGAGGCAGTGGGAGCCTAAATTGTTAAAAGGCTCCCATTGGCCCCTGTCATGCCACACTCCCCATACACTTACCTTTTGGGGGTGTGGATATGACAGGAGCCAATCACATTAGTTTAAAGCTATATATACTTACCTCTCCCTTTACTCCCTGCCCTATCGTGGTTTCTGTATCAGTTCCCTTTAGCGCTTGTTGTGTTCAGTTGTGTTTCTCCGTTTTGACTTTGGCTTTGTTTCTGACTACGTTTTCTCTTTATCCTTATCTGTTCTGGTTGTCGGCTTGCTGTTTACTGTGTACCAGACCCTGGCTTGTCCTAGTTTACGCTGTCTCTCTGTGTCCTTGACTTCGGATCGTTCCTGACTCTGCCTCCTCTCATATACGTCGAGTCCGGCCATTCTAAGGTCTGGTAGACGTATCTCTCCTCTGTGTTGTCTTCTGTTTAGCCGAATCCTGCGTGTTGGGGTATATTCTCGTTACAATATGTGGCATTAAGCCTATTGTGAACTCTGCGTACCACCCTCAGTCTAATGGGTTATGTGAAAGGTTTAATGGGACTTTAAACCTTTGGAGAGGCCCATAAGGACTGGGAGCGATTTCTACCCCATCTGCTATTCGCATACAGAGAGGTACCCCAAGAGTCTACGGGATTTTCTCCCTTTAAACTACTGTTTGGGAGAAGGGTGTGAGGGCCGTTAGATTTAATTAGAGAGCACTGGGAGGGGGAAAGAAGTACAGATGGCATACCCATTGTACCATATGTGCTAGAGTTCAGGGAATGTTTGGAGGCACTAACCCAGACCGTATGGGCCAACCTCCAGGCGGCTCAACAACGCCAGCGCTGATGGTATGATAGGGGAGCCAAGGACCGCAGCTTTCAAGTGGGACAGAAAGTTTTGATTTTAAAGCCTGTTCGTAATGACAAGCTGAAGGCAGTCTGGCAAGGCCCATACCAGGTGGTGGAACAGAAATGTGACACCACCGATGTCATTGGCCCCTTCTCAGGGACAGGGAAGAGACGCATGCTCCACGTGAATATGCTAAAACCCTACCACGAGAGGATAGAGGACATGGCGACAATATGCGCCTCAGCCTCGGAGGATCAGGAGAACCTTCTGCTACCTGACTTATAAGAGCGGGAAGATCAGGCAGAGCCCTCCACAGGTGTTCAGCTGAGGGAGCGGCTAAGCCCCCAGGAGCATACCCAGGTACAGGAGTTAATCGCGGCTAAGGGAACCACTTTCTCCCATTTACCAGTGTACACCCCGCTAGTTACTCACCGAGTCGAGACCCCAGGACAACTACCTATGCGGCAGACCCCATATTGTATCCCTGAAGCAGTCAGGGAACATATGAGGAAGGAAATTGAGGAAATGTTGCAGCTAGGGGTTATTGAACACTCCTATAGCCCCTGGGCATCGCCGGTAGTGCTGGTACCCAAGAAGGATGGCACAACACAATCCTGTGTAGACTACCGGAGGCTAAATAACAAAACAGTGTCTGATGCCTACCCGATGCCTCGGATAGACGAGCTGCTAAACAAGATGGCACGAGGCCATTACCTCACTACAATAGATTTATTCAAAGAGTACTGGCAGATTCCGCTAGCCGAGGATGCCATCCCCAAGTCGGCGTTTGTCACCCCGTTTGACCTGTACCAGTTTTGAGTCATGCCATTCGGGATGAAAAACGCTCCGGCTACCTTTCAACGGATGGTAGATCGGCTACTGGACGGGTTCCAGGAGTATGCCTTTGCATACCTGAATGATATCGCCATATACAGCCAGACCTGGTCAGACCACCTGCGACAAATTGGAGCAGTCATTGACCATATTGGAGAGGCAGGTTGACGCTAAAGCCCAGCAAGTGTCACATAGGGATGGCAGAGGTGCAATATCTGGGACACCGGGTAGGGAGTGGACAGCAAAAGCCCAAACCAGCAAAAATCGATGCACTAGCTAAGTGGCAAACCCCTGGACAAAAACCCAAGTGTTAGCCTTCCTGGGTACCGCAGGGTACTACCAAAAATTCGGACCCAATTATAGTGCCCTGGCCAAACCCCTGACTGACTTGATCTGCAAAAACCTTCCTCGACAGGTCATCTGGGCCCCATAGTGTGATCAGACATTCCAACAACTCAAGACTTCTTTAACCAATGCTCCTGTACTTGCTACTCCTGATCCAACTAAATGATTTCTTGTCCATACAGACTCTTCATTGTTTGGATTGGGAGCAGTGCTGAGCCAAGTTGGAGCAGATGGCGGAGAACATCCCGTAGCTTACTTAATCCTAAAGTTATTGCCCTGTGAAGTAAGCTACGCTGCCATTGAGAAAGAATGCCTGGCCGTGGTGTGGGCCCTCAAAAAGTTACAGCCTTACTTATATGGACAAACGTTTTCCTTACTCACAGATCACAAGCCATTGGTGTGGCTGAACCGTGTAGCTGGGGACAATGCCAGGCTGCTGCGCTGGAGTTTGGCGTTGCAGCCGTTTGACTTTACCATTCATTACCGCCCAGGGAAGCAAAACGGTAACGCAGACGGGTTATCCAGACAAACTGACCTTGAGAAGTGATCTGTGAGTACCCTCCGGACATCCCCAAGCCGATCTGTTGGGATCTGACTGTGTATGCCGGCTTGGTCCTGGGGGAGCATTGTGGCAAACCTAGCCACTTTAAGGCTTACTGTATAACATTGGAAGGTTGTCTGCTTTTATTGTCTGTAAGGATGTATTCATGTGTGTTTGCAATAAAGAATATTCGTATGCTAACGGCCGAAAGCCGCTAGCATTCATATGGTAGTTTTACGAACAGTGACTTTAGACACTGTTCGTAAAACGAATAAAGTACCGAATAGGAGCCCACACACAGAAGGTCGTGTGGCTCCCATTAACCAATTGCAACATTGTAGCAATCAGTAGTTAAGTGCTTTCCTGGGTGGCCGTCGTTCGGCTACCGACCACGCGGCGGTCGACGATCTTGGATCCTTTGTTAGCCCAGCGGTGTTTGGTCGTCGAGCGCCTGGAACTAAAATCAGCTACCGGACGGCGCGAACACCGCTGGACTTCCAGGCCGTTCGGGAGCACTGGTCCTTCGGTAGTTTGTTGCCTAATGTGTATTTGGTACTTTTAATGGGAATGTGAAATAAAGTGTGTTTCGTGTGGCGTTCGGTTATTTATGCTGGGATCTGAGCAGTACTTTCACGAAGGGTGCGCTCAGACCCCAGCTATCTACCAAATGGTCATTTAAGGGAAATACACGAATAATATTAAAGTTATGGATTTTTGTGTTAAAACCCAGTTCTACTGTACAGAGGGATTATCCACTTAACAGGATATTCTAGTGGGAGTATCCCTCATGTACAGCAGTGCATGGTGGGAGAAATGCTCTGTATACTCAGCTCCCCATGTAGTCCTCTACTGTAATACCCCTGTGTAACGGCAAGCTGCTGTGGAGAAGTAAGCTGGTATAATCCCATTCACGATATCCAGAGTAAAAGTCAGGTTCAGCTGTAACAGGAGCAGAATAACATTCCCAAATAATCCCCTTCCAAGAACGAGACAAGGCTACGTTTTGCAGGGTCAAGAAGATCTGAGGTGCTGGCACAGCCTGTGGTTTTTATTACGGTCTTTCACATACAGGACCGCCCACGGGGAGGTATAAAACAACCAATCACATATCAGTTACATCCCACATATTCCCTCCCCTTATCCTGAGAGGAAACTCAATTACACATACAGTTAAAACATACTTTCTACTCAACTTTCATAACTTTAAAACCATACATCACATTCACATAAAATTACATATTCACAATCAATCCATTCAGGGGAACAACATATTCAAAAATGGCACAAATCAGACAAGGGGTTCAAAAGTTAGTAAAAAGTCCTTTGTGACTAAATGAAGCATGGCTTTCTAGCCCAAACCAGTTTCAGAGTCTTCTATCCTGGAGATAAGTAATTCAATTATCTCCCAGGACAGACACAAGACTCCATTAAGCACATGGTTACAAAAAGACACAAAACACTTTAAAATACATAAAGTCACCTTTTATACATAAAACACAGACATTTCACATATCCCCAGATAGCTCAGGTCTGAGCGCACATTATTAAGTGAATGGCGCTCAGACCACACGAATACAGTTTAATTGCCATGGAGCCAAAGTCTTTACAGTCAGTTTCATACGAATGGGCTCCATGGGATTCCTATCTGGGGTATAACACATTCAAACAAATCTACCGAACCCCAGGCAGAAAAGCATGAATGAAGCTTTTCCGCAGGTAAAAAAAGATGTCTTTTAACAGGGGGCCATAGTCCAAAGGCAGCAGGTGAGCAACCAGGCT